TTTTTTTTTTTTTTTTTTTTTTTTTTTCTCAACACTCAGATTGGTGTGAACTTGCCAGTCCCTTACTTATTTGAAAATACTAATACAATATACAACCGTAGTGGTTGAGAATGTTAATTTGGGTTTAGTGTGCTAAAAGAGTGCTTACATACTGCTTAGAAGAATGAAAAAGGAGAAATAAGCCACTTTATTTATAATACGGAATTTTAATTTGGAAAATTGAAAAATTTTCTCATCTATCATCTAGCCCAGTTTTTTGACTGATTGATAGATGGCTTTTGTTCACTTTATCATCATCGTGCTATTTTGAGAAAGTTTTTCGATATTTTATTTCTGCAATAAAAAACATGATTATTTTAATCTTATCATTAACAAAACAATATATTAACAAGTATAGTTTAACTAAGTACAATTTAAATTTAAATAAATTTCCTATTGTTCCTATTGTTGTTTCTTTCTAGTTCCCTGTAGATAACTGATTCTATTGTTGTTATATATCTATGTAGTATAGCGCGGCGCAACCCACACTGACTACTCGTTTTTTTTTCCATCCCGTTTTAATTCCCTTTTTGGTTGACTAGTTATTTCCACTTTAAATTTTAATTTTGGGCATTAGGAGACTAAACGGGTATAAAACCCTATTAAAGTTAAGCTCTAACATAGTAGTCTCCCAATCCCGTCATCCAATTTTATTTTTTTATTTTTGCTATTTATGTTGTCTTTATCTTCTTTCTTTGCTATCTTGTATCCTTTGATATTATTTCTTTCTAATTTTTGTTTAATTATATTTCCGGTATATTTCTTTATCCTTATGGTACTTCATTTGTAATTTGTACAGATTTAGTGTGTCTCCAAAATGCCTATATTCAGTTTCTACCCTAGAACAACCAGTTTACGATTAATAACACGTTCAGTCTTCACAATAAGATTTTGAATCCACAGGTCCAAAGCTCAATTTTACTAAGATTCAAGTTTAAGACTCTTTATAATTTGGATATACATTTTAGTTCATATATATTATAATTCAAATATGACGAATTTGAGCCGTGATCTTGACTTTGACAGCTAATGCCACTTTAACATGTTTAACAGCCTGCATTTCTTTTATTAACCTTGAAATTTTAATAAAATATTCCTTGCCAAGTTTTAAGTATAATTGTTTTCTGATCAACAATAAAATGTTAAGATACCTAATTGGGATAATGTCAAGAAATAAAAACAAACTTAAACAAAGAAAATAGCTTGATGTCAAAAGTTCAGAAGATTTTATGACATAAGCAATCAAATTAGCCAACATATGACAGCATTGTTGTGTTCTTTTTTTTTTTTTTTTTTTTTTTTTTTCTCAACACTCAGATTGGTGTGAACTTGCCAGTCCCTTACTTATTTGAAAATACTAATACAATATACAACCGTAGTGGTTGAGAATGTTAATTTGGGTTTAGTGTGCTAAAAGAGTGCTTACATACTGCTTAGAAGAATGAAAAAGGAGAAATAAGCCACTTTATTTATAATACGGAATTTTAATTTGGAAAATTGAAAAATTTTCTCATCTATCATCTAGCCCAGTTTTTTGACTGATTGATAGATGGCTTCTGTTCACTTTATCATCATCGTGCTATTTTGAGAAAGTTTTTCGATATTTTATTTCTGCAATAAAAAACATGATTATTTTAATCTTATCATTAACAAAACAATATATTAACAAGTATAGTTTAACTAAGTACAATTTAAATTTAAATAAATTTCCTATTGTTCCTATTGTTGTTTCTTTCTAGTTCCCTGTAGATAACTGATTCTATTGTTGTTATATATCTATGTAGTATAGCGCGGCGCAACCCACACTGACTACTCGTTTTTTTTTCCATCCCGTTTTAATTCCCTTTTTGGTTGACTAGTTATTTCCACTTTAAATTTTAATTTTGGGCATTAGGAGACTAAACGGGTATAAAACCCTATTAAAGTTAAGCTCTAACATAGTAGTCTCCCAATCCCGTCATCCAATTTTATTTTTTTATTTTTGCTATTTATGTTGTCTTTATCTTCTTTCTTTGCTATCTTGTATCCTTTGATATTATTTCTTTCTAATTTTTGTTTAATTATATTTCCGGTATATTTCTTTATCCTTATGGTACTTCATTTGTAATTTGTACAGATTTAGTGTGTCTCCAAAATGCCTATATTCAGTTTCTACCCTAGAACAACCAGTTTACGATTAATAACACGTTCAGTCTTCACAATAAGATTTTGAATCCACAGGTCCAAAGCTCAATTTTACTAAGATTCAAGTTTAAGACTCTTTATAATTTGGATATACATTTTAGTTCATATATATTATAATTCAAATATGACGAATTTGAGCCGTGATCTTGACTTTGACAGCTAATGCCACTTTAACATGTTTAACAGCCTGCATTTCTTTTATTAACCTTGAAATTTTAATAAAATATTCCTTGCCAAGTTTTAAGTATAATTGTTTTCTGATCAACAATAAAATGTTAAGATACCTAATTGGGATAATGTCAAGAAATAAAAACAAACTTAAACAAAGAAAATAGCTTGATGTCAAAAGTTCAGAAGATTTTATGACATAAGCAATCAAATTAGCCAACATATGACAGCATTGTTGTGTTCTTTTTTTTTTTTTTTTTTTTTTTTTTTTCTCAACACTCAGATTGGTGTGAACTTGCCAGTCCCTTACTTATTTGAAAATACTAATACAATATACAACCGTAGTGGTTGAGAATGTTAATTTGGGTTTAGTGTGCTAAAAGAGTGCTTACATACTGCTTAGAAGAATGAAAAAGGAGAAATAAGCCACTTTATTTATAATACGGAATTTTAATTTGGAAAATTGAAAAATTTTCTCATCTATCATCTAGCCCAGTTTTTTGACTGATTGATAGATGGCTTTTGTTCACTTTATCATCATCGTGCTATTTTGAGAAAGTTTTTCGATATTTTATTTCTGCAATAAAAAACATGATTATTTTAATCTTATCATTAACAAAACAATATATTAACAAGTATAGTTTAACTAAGTACAATTTAAATTTAAATAAATTTCCTATTGTTCCTATTGTTGTTTCTTTCTAGTTCCCTGTAGATAACTGATTCTATTGTTGTTATATATCTATGTAGTATAGCGCGGCGCAACCCACACTGACTACTCGTTTTTTTTTCCATCCCGTTTTAATTCCCTTTTTGGTTGACTAGTTATTTCCACTTTAAATTTTAATTTTGGGCATTAGGAGACTAAACGGGTATAAAACCCTATTAAAGTTAAGCTCTAACATAGTAGTCTCCCAATCCCGTCATCCAATTTTATTTTTTTATTTTTGCTATTTATGTTGTCTTTATCTTCTTTCTTTGCTATCTTGTATCCTTTGATATTATTTCTTTCTAATTTTTGTTTAATTATATTTCCGGTATATTTCTTTATCCTTATGGTACTTCATTTGTAATTTGTACAGATTTAGTGTGTCTCCAAAATGCCTATATTCAGTTTCTACCATAGAACAACCAGTTTACGATTAATAACACGTTCAGTCTTCACAATAAGATTTTGAATCCACAGGTCCAAAGCTCAATTTTACTAAGATTCAAGTTTAAGACTCTTTATAATTTGGATATACATTTTAGTTCATATATATTATAATTCAAATATGACGAATTTGAGCCGTGATCTTGACTTTGACAGCTAATGCCACTTTAACATGTTTAACAGCCTGCATTTCTTTTATTAACCTTGAAATTTTAATAAAATATTCCTTGCCAAGTTTTAAGTATAATTGTTTTCTGATCAACAATAAAATGTTAAGATACCTAATTGGGATAATGTCAAGAAATAAAAACAAACTTAAACAAAGAAAATAGCTTGATGTCAAAAGTTCAGAAGATTTTATGACATAAGCAATCAAATTAGCCAACATATGACAGCATTGTTGTGTTCTTTTTTTTTTTTTTTTTTTTTTTTTTTCTCAACACTCAGATTGGTGTGAACTTGCCAGTCCCTTACTTATTTGAAAATACTAATACAATATACAACCGTAGTGGTTGAGAATGTTAATTTGGGTTTAGTGTGCTAAAAGAGTGCTTACATACTGCTTAGAAGAATGAAAAAGGAGAAATAAGCCACTTTATTTATAATACGGAATTTTAATTTGGAAAATTGAAAAATTTTCTCATCTATCATCTAGCCCAGTTTTTTGACTGATTGATAGATGGCTTTTGTTCACTTTATCATCATCGTGCTATTTTGAGAAAGTTTTTCGATATTTTATTTCTGCAATAAAAAACATGATTATTTTAATCTTATCATTAACAAAACAATATATTAACAAGTATAGTTTAACTAAGTACAATTTAAATTTAAATAAATTTCCTATTGTTCCTATTGTTGTTTCTTTCTAGTTCCCTGTAGATAACTGATTCTATTGTTGTTATATATCTATGTAGTATAGCGCGGCGCAACCCACACTGACTACTCGTTTTTTTTTTCCATCCCGTTTTAATTCCCTTTTTGGTTGACTAGTTATTTCCACTTTAAATTTTAATTTTGGGCATTAGGAGACTAAACGGGTATAAAACCCTATTAAAGTTAAGCTCTAACATAGTAGTCTCCCAATCCCGTCATCCAATTTTATTTTTTTATTTTTGCTATTTATGTTGTCTTTATCTTCTTTCTTTGCTATCTTGTATCCTTTGATATTATTTCTTTCTAATTTTTGTTTAATTATATTTCCGGTATATTTCTTTATCCTTATGGTACTTCATTTGTAATTTGTACAGATTTAGTGTGTCTCCAAAATGCCTATATTCAGTTTCTACCCTAGAACAACCAGTTTACGATTAATAACACGTTCAGTCTTCACAATAAGATTTTGAATCCACAGGTCCAAAGCTCAATTTTACTAAGATTCAAGTTTAAGACTCTTTATAATTTGGATATACATTTTAGTTCATATATATTATAATTCAAATATGACGAATTTGAGCCGTGATCTTGACTTTGACAGCTAATGCCACTTTAACATGTTTAACAGCCTGCATTTCTTTTATTAACCTTGAAATTTTAATAAAATATTCCTTGCCAAGTTTTAAGTATAATTGTTTTCTGATCAACAATAAAATGTTAAGATACCTAATTGGGATAATGTCAAGAAATAAAAACAAACTTAAACAAAGAAAATAGCTTGATGTCAAAAGTTCAGAAGATTTTATGACATAAGCAATCAAATTAGCCAACATATGACAGCATTGTTGTGTTCTTTTTTTTTTTTTTTTTCTCAACACTCAGATTGGTGTGAACTTGCCAGTCCCTTACTTATTTGAAAATACTAATACAATATACAACCGTAGTGGTTGAGAATGTTAATTTGGGTTTAGTGTGCTAAAAGAGTGCTTACATACTGCTTAGAAGAATGAAAAAGGAGAAATAAGCCACTTTATTTATAATACGGAATTTTAATTTGGAAAATTGAAAAATTTTCTCATCTATCATCTAGCCCAGTTTTTTGACTGATTGATAGATGGCTTTTGTTCACTTTATCATCATCGTGCTATTTTGAGAAAGTTTTTCGATATTTTATTTCTGCAATAAAAAACATGATTATTTTAATCTTATCATTAACAAAACAATATATTAACAAGTATAGTTTAACTAAGTACAATTTAAATTTAAATAAATTTCCTATTGTTCCTATTGTTGTTTCTTTCTAGTTCCCTGTAGATAACTGATTCTATTGTTGTTATATATCTATGTAGTATAGCGCGGCGCAACCCACACTGACTACTCGTTTTTTTTTTTCCATCCCGTTTTAATTCCCTTTTTGGTTGACTAGTTATTTCCACTTTAAATTTTAATTTTGGGCATTAGGAGACTAAACGGGTATAAAACCCTATTAAAGTTAAGCTCTAACATAGTAGTCTCCCAATCCCGTCATCCAATTTTATTTTTTTATTTTTGCTATTTATGTTGTCTTTATCTTCTTTCTTTGCTATCTTGTATCCTTTGATATTATTTCTTTCTAATTTTTGTTTAATTATATTTCCGGTATATTTCTTTATCCTTATGGTACTTCATTTGTAATTTGTACAGATTTAGTGTGTCTCCAAAATGCCTATATTCAGTTTCTACCCTAGAACAACCAGTTTACGATTAATAACACGTTCAGTCTTCACAATAAGATTTTGAATCCACAGGTCCAAAGCTCAATTTTACTAAGATTCAAGTTTAAGACTCTTTATAATTTGGATATACATTTTAGTTCATATATATTATAATTCAAATATGACGAATTTGAGCCGTGATCTTGACTTTGACAGCTAATGCCACTTTAACATGTTTAACAGCCTGCATTTCTTTTATTAACCTTGAAATTTTAATAAAATATTCCTTGCCAAGTTTTAAGTATAATTGTTTTCTGATCAACAATAAAATGTTAAGATACCTAATTGGGATAATGTCAAGAAATAAAAACAAACTTAAACAAAGAAAATAGCTTGATGTCAAAAGTTCAGAAGATTTTATGACATAAGCAATCAAATTAGCCAACATATGACAGCATTGTTGTGTTCACCTTACCTACAATAGATTTTAAGGTAAACTGAGGTGTGTGTATAACCAATTACAGGGAAAACAGGAAGTTAAATTATGAAGTATAAACTTATTAATAGATTTATTAAAAACGGTTGATTTCTTTAAATCAACAAGAAATACATTCATGTCCAAAGACAAACATATCCATGTTTAGATTTATAAATAAAACTGAGATACATACATAAGTGAATCTACTTGTATGGTAGATTAATTTATAACAAAACGGTCCATGTAGATATGCCTTGCATGACACTTTTATTGTTTATTTATATGTGCTGTACATATGTTGGAAAAAGAACATTTTTGTTTTATCCTTTTAAATTTTAAAGTTAAGGCAAAACTCCATATATATTTGGAGGTGCTCCTAATTAAAGGAGGCTGATACTAAGAAGAAGAAGTTTAGAATACTTGTTAATTAAAATTTTAAGATTTATGATAAAGGCAAATACTACCAGTTTATTTTAACAATAAAGATAAATCTTCATTCTCGAGGGAAGACAGATACTTTTGGTTCCTGATATAAACATTTTTTTCCCTTCACCTTAACATACAGTAAACTGATACTTGTCCATTACTTTCAAAACAAAAACATTGTATTACATTACAAGTTTATGAAAAGTTATGAGATGTACAAGTCATCCTAAAGATTAAGACCGAAGAAAGACAACCTTAGAAAAATAAGTAACTATTACTACAATATTGTTGTGTAGAACCTGAAATTTTATGAATACCTCAAGTATTTTTTAATTTACATGTGTGTAAATATTACGGGAAGACAGGCAAAATACTTCAAAGCATTTGTTTAAAATAAAAGCAAAATTATTAATGAAGAAATTGCACTTCTTATCAAACCAAAACATTGTATATGCAAAGATTTGCCTTTAAATAATTTTCTAAAAATCATTTTTTCAGGTAACAATGACAAAGATATAGTTTTTACTAATTTCAGAAAGAAAATTTTTAAACTCGTAATCTAAACTCAAAATAAGTAGGTTCCCTGTCAGACAGATATGTATAAGGACATCTTATCAATCAAACTGGCAAAAGACTGCTTAGAAAT